CCATATGGCTGTACTGAGGTTCATTTATCCATGCGCCAGCTGGGGGACATCTGGGTTGTTGCAGTTGTGGGGCAATTACAAATATAGAGTTGCTGTAAACATTTGCACAGATTTTTGTGTAAACCTGAATTTTCATTTCTCTAGGATGAATAACTCAAAGTAGAAAACTGAGTCGTATAGTAAACATGTTTTACTTTATCAGAAACTGCCAAACTATTTTCCAAATGACTGTATCGTTTTGCATCCCCACCAGCAATGGATGAGAATTCCAGGTGTTTCCAATTTGGTATTGTGATAGAGTTACAATTTTTTAATATAAAATTTTATATTTTAAAAATTTGAGCCATTCTAATGTGTGTGTTGAGGTATCTCATTGTAATTTTAATTTGCAATTCCCTAATGACTAATGATGCTGAAACTCTTCATATGCTTATTTGCTCAATGTCGACATTTACTGGTAAAATAGCTGTGCGAGTTTTTTGCTCATTTTTAAAAACTGGGCTGTTTTTATTGAGTTTTTAGAGTTCTTTATGTATGATAGCTACAAGTCCTTAATTAGGTATGTGATTGGCAAGTATTTTCTCACAGTCTGTGGCTTGCCTCTATTTCCTTAGTAGTATCTTCTGAGGAGCAGAAGTGTTTTAATTATAATGAAGCACGATTCATCAGTTGTTTCCTTTTTGTCTTACGTTAACATTTTTAACCACTTTATTGAGCTATAAACCATTCAATTCAGCCTTTTGAAGTGTACAGTTTAAGCGCTTTAGTATATTCACAGATTTGTGCAATCTTCACCGCAGTCAATTTTAGAACATCTTCATTACCCCGAGCAGAAACCCTGTGCTCCTTAACCATCAGTCTCCTGCTCTCTCATTCCCATCTCCACCCCTGGGCAACCCTACTTTCTGTCTCTAGATTTGTCTGTTTTGGACAACCTACATATACTAAACAGAATCACACAACATATGATCCTTCACAGCCACTTCCTTCACTTGGTACAATATTTTCAAGGTTTGTCCATGTGGTAGCATGTATCAGTACTTCATTTCTTTTTATTCCCAAATAATATTCAGGTCTATGGATTGCCACATTTTAACTACCCAGTATCAGCTGAAGAACATTTGTGTTGTTTTCACCTTTTGGCAATTGTGAAGAACGCTGCCGTGTACAAGTTTTTATATAGACACATGTCTTCATTCTCCTGATTATATACCTAGGAGTGGAATTGCTGGATCCTAAACCGCCAGTTTTCCAAGGAGGCTGCACCATTTTACATCCCCACCAGCAAGTGTATGAGGGTTCCGATTTCTCTGCATCTTCGCAGACACTTGCTTCTGTCTGCCTTTTTGCTAGTAGCCATCCCAGTGGGTGTGAAGCAGTATCTCATTGTGGTTTTGATTTGCATCTCCCTGATGATGTTCAACATCTTTTCATGTGCTCTTGGCTACTTGTGTATCTTCTTTGGAGAACTGTCTTTTGCCCGTTTTTAAATTGGGTCATTTGTATCCTTCTTACTGAATTGTAATAGTTGTTTACTTATTCTAGATACATGTCTCTTATCAAATATGGGATATGCAATAATTTTCAGTTCTGTGGATCGTCTCTTCACTTTCTTAATGGTACCCTTTAAAGCATGAGAGCTTTTAAGTTTGATGATTTCAAATGTTCTTATTTCTTTTGTTGATTGTGCTTTTTTGTGTGTTATAGCTCAGAAACCGTTGCTTAATTCAAGGTCAGGAAGATTTACATCTGGGTATTCTTCTAAAAGTTCTATAGTTTAGTTCTTACATTTAGGTCCTAGATCCATTTTGAGTTAATTTTCATATATGATGTGAGCTAAGGCTCCCACTTCATTCTTTTGTATGAGACTATCCAGTTATGCTAGCACCATGTGCTACAAAGCCTGCTCTTTCCTCATTGAATGGTCTTGACACGCATTAACAGTTTATTATATTTGCTTTATTGCATATCTGTAAATATTTCCACTTCTCTATCCATCCACTGATCTATTGTATCTTTTGATGCATTTCAAAAAGTGAGTTGCAGACAGCAGAATACTTTCTCCTAATACTCATTGCACACATATCATTAACTATAGTTCAGTGTTTGTCCACATTTTTTTTCTGTTTGATGTAACATTTATGTACAATGAAACACACACATTTTAAGTGTACCATTTGATGAGTTTTGACAAATGCATTCACCTGTACGATGCAAATTCCCTCTCAAGATATAGAACATCAACACCACCCCAGAAAGTTCCCTCCCTTGCATTTATTTTTATGTACTTATTTTTGACAAATGCATATGCCCATGTAACCACCACCCTAATCAAGATATAGAATGTTTCCATCTCCTAAGAAAGTTCTCTTTCACTTCTTTGCTTTTAACCTTGCCCCACCCCATCCGTACCCTAGACAGCCACTGATCTCATTTATACCACTGTAGATTAGTTTTGCCTGTTACAGAATTTCATGTAAATTAAATCACCCGATGTGGAGTATTTTGTGATCAGCTTATTTGTCCCTGACCAACATTCGAAAAACAAAATAGAACAGAATAGAAAATATCAGAATAACAAAAGAAAAAATGCTCATGCACGTGTGTGTGTGTGTGTGTGTGTGTGTGTGATTGTATCGGGCCAAAATGGAAAATGCATTTCTTACTATGGGTTGTAATCAAAAAGATTTAAAAGCTACTGTTCTCTGGATCAGGCCCCTGGGTTTCTTTTCTACCTGTCTTGTCACTTTTCTGCTCCCTCAGCTTCCTTGATCGCATATCAGTTATCCCAGTGACTGGTCTCACCTTCATACCTTTACAGATTCTGTTCCTCCCCTTCAGTCACTCTCCCCACCTCGTCCCACTGATGCGCAAACTGGAGAACTCCTATTCACCCATCAGATGCAAGATGGTTGGCCCTTCCTCTAGAAGACATTTTCTGTTTGCATGCTTCCCTCTCAGAACTGATATTATGTTGTACCCTAATTACTTGGTTACTCTTTCCTCTAGCTGACCACCAGATCCGTGGGGACAGGGACCATATCTTAGTCACCTTTGCAGTCCCTAGCTCTGGGGATGTGATGACACATAACAGGCATCAATACATATTCATTGAATGAATGAATGAACCCCAGGGTTCTGGGTGACAGGGTTTTAAATAAACCAGCTACATTTTTCCCAAGCCCCCATTCCTGCGTATTTTTTGTCCTATATGTCTCTGATTTCTTGACCATCATGTTTTATAACCTCCCTCAATCACCCTGAGACCTTAGTCTTTTTACTTTCCTCCCTCCACGCCCAGTGCGACTGTTTCATCACTGTGACTTCCTCCCAGACATGCAGAGGCAAACAATTGTTATATGAGGATGATACTGTATTCTTATCTTTATGGCCTTTGTCCCAGAACTGCTCCTCCTGCCCCCATCTTGGCCAAGTGATATTAATTCTGTGACTGTGGCTATGGGAGCAGGTAAGTATGGTGTGAATGCACACGTACCTGGAGAGATGGTCACCCAAATGTCATCAGTGACTGCCTCTGAGATTTCAGATGATTTTCACTTAATTTTTTATACTTTTTCTGCATGGCTTCAGCTTGCTAGTTGAGAACAATGTTAATTACCTACTGCTGTGATAATACTGCCGGAGCTCTCAGTGGCCTGCAGCTCTAAGCGTTTACTGTCACACTCAGTGGTCGGCCACAGGGCTCTGCTGATCTTGGCTGGGCTCTTTCAGGCTGGCTGGTGTCTGATCTAGACTGACCTCAGCCAGGACCATTGAGGCATCTCTGCTCCGCATTATCTCTTACCCTTAGGGGTCGAGCCCAGCCCCGAGACGCCTGCATGATGAGGGCAGAAGTGCAAGTAAGCCCAATCTTGGAAGTGAATTTCAAGCTTCAGCCCCCATCACATCTGTTAACATCCTGTTGGCCAAAACAAGTCATGTGGCTGAGCTCAGCATCCAAGTGGGAGACACTTACAAGGTACAGGGCAAGAAGGGTGGGTACAGGGAGGCGTAAAGAGCCGGGACCATCGTGGCAATCTCCTACAAAATCTCCATCATTGCAATGTCCTATCTTTGTAATTAGAAAAAAATAGTAAAGCTGGTTTCAAGCAAGATGGCTGCCAGAGCTTCAGTCCTACATCCTCCAGGAGGTACAGGTTAGAGACACCTATGAAGAGGGCAGGTGAGTATTTCAGCAACCCAGAAAAATCTCAGAGAGTCTCTTTGGCTCTGATGGGTCACATGTCCATCTCTGACCAAATCACTAAGGCTAAGGGACCACAGTGTTCTGATTGGCCACTCCTCAGTGACCACTTCTACCTGATTTACATGTAATGAGAGCTGGGGAGAATGGTTCATTAGAGGAATATCAGGGATGCTACAGGAGGTGGCTGAGTCCGATTAGATTGTCACAAAAGTCCCTGAGACTGGGGGGCTGGCTGGAGTGCAATTCATGTGCAGGTGAGGTGATCGCAGAGGGCGCTGCGAGTGAGAGGAGGGGCAGGAAGCCACTGCAGGAGCATTCATGAGCAGATTAATGCTGGGGGTGGGGCACTCAGTCTCTCTGGGACCTCTGGGAGACTGTGCGGAACCTGCTTCAGGGCTGTTCCCCCACCAGCCACATACCCTGAGAAGTGAGGGAACTGGGGTATTTATCCAACAATTCCAGTCATCACTGGCTGAGACCTGCCCCTGTGGATGTTAACTCTCTGTCACATCTGCCTGCCTTCCGCACGGGTCAGATTGACTCCTGTGTCCAGAGAACGTCCTGGGGCAGAGTCACAGGTGCTTGCAGTGAGAAGATGGGACTGGTAAGTGAGAGGATATGCGTGTGGCATCGACGTTGTCTACTACAGTGGGAAGAACAAGTCACGGTGCTAACCAGTTGTCAGGACATGGGCTCATTTTGGTCTGGGTCCTGCCCTCAAGGCAAGGAAGCCCATAGATACAGCCTCCAAATAGATCCCAGAGAAGAAGTATAGCAGAGTGGTTAAGGGCACAGGCTGTGGAGTAAGGGGCATATGGGGTGTGGTCAGTATTTACCACTTGCTTGCTGCAAGTTACTTAACCTCTCTGAGCCTCAATTTCCTCATCTAGAAGATGGGACTCTACGGGGGTTTTTGAAGATTAAATGAGGCAATTGATAATATGGCACTGGGCACTTGTTTTCCAAGAAAAACAAATGAGTCCATTCTAGAGAAATGACATTTCCCAAGAGGTACGTCCTAGTGTCCCAAAGAAGAAGAGGGAAGACCTAACAAGGGGTAAGCTGAGTTAAAGACCGAAGACCTGGGAGGCACTAAAGGACCAGCAAAGGATGCCACCAAGAACAAATAGCACTGATTGTGCAGAGGCTGCAAGAGACCTAATGGAAAAGTCTGCAAACAGGAGGCCACTCCATTTAGGAAATGCACTCCAGGAAGGTGGGGAGCCCACTGCCTGGTGGGAGGGTCTTCTGAGAGCCCTGTGATCAAATTACCTTCTAAAGACCGGAAACCTGCTTCCTTCAAACCCAGTAGTTATAAACCAGTGGCCACCCCATCTCCCACCCCAGAGGGCATTTGGCAAAGCCTGGAAACATTCTGTTTGCTACGGTGGGGGGTGGGGGTGGGGATTGCTTCTAGAATCTAGTGGGTAGAGGTCGAGGATGCTGCTAATCACCCCACAATGCACAGGACGGTCCCTATAATGACAAAGAATTCTCCAGCTCAAAACGTCAGTAGCGCCAAGGTTGAGAAACTCTTTCAGAAAGTGGGGAGCTACAGGGTGATTCTCAACCAAAAGAGAGAGATTCAACGTTGGGAATTCTGACAGCTGAGTCAGTGGTGGCCTGGAGACAGTGTAATTCAGGACTTTTTTTCCTGTTCTCCTGGGAAATCTGTGAGGTAAGCAGGCAGGAGTCTACTGATCCTCAGCCAGAAGCACTAAGCTCTGGCTTCATTCCTCCCAGATGGCAAATCGTGCAAAGCACAGTGAGTCCGTAACACCTACGAGGTTCTTGAGAGAAGTTTCTCTCTCCTGAGAAAGTGTGCTCACTCAGCACTTACTGGCTATGTGCTCTTGAGCAAGTGTCTTACTTTCTCTGTGCCTTTTCCTCATCTGTGAAATGGGCCTAAGAGTAGTACTTAATTCCTAGAGTTTTCGTAAGGATTGATTAATATATGGAATGGGCCTATAACAGGGTCTGGCACATAGGGCCACACTGCTACGTAAGTGTCAGCTCTTATCATCCTCTCATCCACCGCCACCACCACCACCATCCTTATCATCATCATCATCATCCCTACCATCATTTTCGTCATCATTGACTTTATCATCCCCACCACTATTATCGTCATCGACTTCAGCATCCCCACCGCTATCATCAACATCATCGATGTCAGCATCCCCACTGCTATCATCAGCATCACCACCATCACCATTAACATCATCATCCCCATCACCACCATTATCATCTCCACCAGAACCATCATATCATCATCATCACCATCATCTTCATCATTTCTTTTAGGGAAAGCCTGTTTATTGAACCTGTCTCCCCCCCTTACACAATTATCATCACCACCAGAACCATCACATCATCATCATCATCATAATCATCATCATTTCTTTTAGGGAAAGCCTGTTTACTGAACCTGTCTTACCTGAGGTTTGATTGGATGTCATTCTGCCCCAAGGGTGGCAGCAAAAGGGATCGACCCTCAGCCCCTTTGACACAGTCTCTTGGCTGCGTCCACAGACATTTGTGTAGGGTTGTTACCAATCCCTCTGTCTCCACCCATCAAAACCAAGTGAGTCAAGCCAGCCTGAAGGTCCCAGATGGCTCCAACTCTTGGAATGAGTCCACTGAATCTCTTCTGTTAAACTGCAAAATGACAAAAAGCCAAGTCACAGATGTCCAAACAGAGGTCAAAATTTCTGCTGTGGAGAAAGAGAGTCTGGAGGTTGGTTGCAGCTGATATGACGCAGCTGTTCAAAGACATCAGGGCTCCCATTGTCTGGAAAAGCCTTCTCACCTTACAGGAATCCCAGATAACTGGCTGTGGCTGGAGTTGCTTTCGTAGTTCTTAGACGTCAGGGCTCCCACACTGCGGTTGTCTTGGCCTTCGTTAATGCGAGGTGGTCTGTGTTCACAGCAGGAAGGCCTGTTCTATCAGGCATACATTGCCCTGAAGCACCCCCCTCCCCAGTACAGACTTCTATTTGTGCTTCATTGGCAGAACCCCTAGGACAAAGGGGGCTAGGAAAGCTGGAGTAGGATTGTCATGATTGGCTGAAACAAATCATGCCCCATTGCCTCAGGAAGGGTATGCTGTCGCCCCGATGAAGTCTGGGTTGTTTTGGTGAGGAAGAACCCGGGAGGTGAGTCTTGTGGGTCTGCAGCAGGTCAAGGAACTATGGCTGCAAAACAAACTATCCCCAAATTTAGTGACGTTTATTTCGCTCATGCCTCTGCAATCTGGCAGGGCTCCGTGGGTGTAGTTTGTCTCTATGCTACTTGGTATCAAGTTAAAACAATAGCAACATTTATTTTACTTGTTATTTTGCAATTTGGTCAGGGTTCAGACCAGGGTCAGTGACCCCGCTTGGTGTCAGCTGGGATAGCTGTGGAGTAGGGAGCTGGAAACATCTGAAGGCTTACTCACTCACATCTAGGCATGGGCTGGGAAGTCCCAAACAGCTGGGGCTCCTCAGGCCTTTCTCTTTATTTCTCTGTGGTCTCTCCATGTGCTCTCACCAGCATAGTGGCTTCAGGGTAGCTGGACTTCTCACATGTCAGCTCAAGGAATCCCAAAGTGTGAGCTGAGAAAGAGAGAGAGACAGGCAGACAGAAAAAGAGAGGCAGAAAGGAAGAAAAAGAAAGAAGGAAGAGAGTGAGGAAAGAAAGAAAAGAAAGGAAAGAAAAGAAAGAAAGAAAGAAAGGAAAGAAAGAAGGAAGAAAGAAAGAAAGAAAGAAAGAAAGAAAGAAAGAAAGAAAGAAAGAAAAAGGAAGGAAGGAAGGAAGAGAGTAAGAAAGGAGGGAGGGAGGAAGGGAAGAAGGAAGGGAGGGAAGGAAGGAATGAAAGAAGGAAGATTCTATATACAGACCTTCTACCTTTCACATACACATAAACACACACAAACCTGAAATGGATCACAAACCTAAATATACAGTGTAAAACTTCTAGAAGGTGACATATGAGAAAATCTAGAATCTAGGTTTGGCGATGAGTGTTTAGATATAATACCAAAAGCATGATCTAGGAAAGAAAAATGATAACTTGGACTTCACTAAAAGCAAAAACTTTCACTTCACAAAAAACACTGTTAAGAGAATGAAAAGATAAGCCACAGGCTTGGACAAAATCTGTGTAAAACACATGTCCAATAAAGGACTTATCTCCAAAATATACAATGATTTTTTAAAAAAAACTCAACTACCGGAAGACAACCTAATTTAAAAATAGCCAAAAGATCTCAACAGACAAAAAAGATACACAGATGACAAATAAGCATATGAAAAGATACTCAAAGTAATATGTCTTCAAGGCACTTGAAATTAAAACGACAGTGAGATAGAATTACACAACTACTAGACTAAGATCCAAAAAACTGGCAGCACCAAATGCTGACAAGAATGTAGAGCAACGGGAGCTCCCATTCATTGCTGGTGGGAATGCAAAATGGTACAGCCACGTTGGAAGACAGTTTGGCAATTCCTTATAAAATTAAATGTATTCTTACCATATGATCTAGCGATCACACTCATTATTTACCCAAAGAAGTTGAAAACACAGAAAACCACACAAAAAACCTGCATACAAGTGTTTAGAGGAGCTTCATTCATAGTTGTCAAAGACTGAAAGCAACCAAGGAGTCCTTCAGTAGGGAAATGGGTAAATGAGCAGTGCTACATCCAGACAATGGGATAGTATTCAGTGCTAAAAAGAAATGAGCTATCAAGCCACAAAAAGACACGGAGGAATTTTAAATGCATATTACTAAGTGAAAGAAGCCAGTCTTAGGAGGCTATATACTGTTAGATGCCAACTATATGCCATTCTGAAAAAAGCAAAACTATAGAGCCAGTAAAAAGATCAGTGGCTCCCAAGGCTGAGTCGGGAGGAGGATGATGAACAGGTGAAGGAGACTTTCAGGAAAGTGAAAGTATTCTTATGTCGCCGTACTGGTGGATTAAAGTCATTATGGGTCAAAACCCACAGAACTGATCAAGAGAAAGCACGAACTTTAATGTGAACAGCAGACTGTAGTTAATAGTAATGTATAAAGATCAGTTCATTAATTTTAACAAATGTAGCACATTAATGCAAAATGTTAATAATTGGGGAAATTATGCGCTTGGGGAGGTGGTATATGGGAACTCTGGACTATCAATTTTTCAGTGAACCTACAACCTAAAATTAAAAAGAAAATTTTTTTACCTGAAAGCTTGAAAGATAGGCTTGAACACAAGTGATGTGTTGATGTAATGTGAGCTGAGCTTGTACTGAGGCAATACTTGGGAACCCCCTGGGTTAAGGATCTGAGTTTTTATTACTTTGGGGCCTCCAGCCCCTCTCCAAGGAAGGCCTGACACGGAGTAGCCACTGGTAAAAGTTTGGACAACTGGGGCAGAAACCTGAATAATGGAACTGTATGCAGGATGGCAAACTTTACAGTTATTATCTCTCTAGGGCTTCAGGACAATGCCCTATTTTCGTTAACTCTCTATTCTAACATAATTTCAGACTTACAGAAAAGTGGCAGTAGAGTACAAAGAATTCCCGTATTCCGATCCCCCAGGTTTCCCAAGTGTCTTCACATCCAACCACATCTGCTCCAACCTTTTCCTGTCTTTTCAGTGTGTTTTCACCACCACTTCACAACCAAGCTAATAGGTGGAGGGAACAGGCTCTGAGCTGGCTTCTTTCTCATTTTCATTCTGATCAGAACAATAATGAACATTTACTAAGCGCCTACTACATGCCAGGCACTTTTCATGTATCTTACCACATGTATTTCAGA